ACTGCCCCACCTTGCAGCCCAGATTGTTCTCCAGAGTTTATTTATTTCTTATTTGGGACCCAAAACTCTGTAAAATATTTTTTGGATGAATTTTAAGACTTCCGTGTATTTTCAGATCTGGAAATTTTTGCATTGTCACCCTCAAAAAGACGTCTAACCTGGAAACCATTTAGGGGATTCAACATCTCCAGAAAGTTAACTCCTACAACCAGGACATTTGGTGAGGACAGAGACGGAACCGTTTTCTGTAGATTCTCCAGCAGATCCCAATTTTTTACTTGGTGGTAACTGGGGTCCAGAAAGTTCCTGTAAGTGAGTCTATAAGGATGGATCCATGTTTACTACTAAAATAACAGCCTTCAGTCAACTTTTCATCCACTTTTGAGGCTCTAACATCAGCAGAACTCGATGTGTGGTGAGACATGGTTCCATGTTTTTGGTATTTTGTAGCAGCTACACAAATAATGACCATATATAAACCCCTATATACACCAGTTTTTGTGGTCCAACCAATAGGTCCACATCATATAAAAATAGCAAAACACTGGAACCCTGTCTTGCCACACCTGCCACACATCGACTTCTACGGATGTTAGAGGCCTCAGAAGTTGGTGAAGGACTGTATTATCAGTAGGAATCATGGATACATCCATAAAAATACACTTAGAGGAACTTTTTGGGGCCCAACAACCACCCTAGATTGAAATTTTTGCACTTTTCCCCATTTTCAAACTCCAGTAATTACAGTTTGGCCTTTGCTGGAGCCATTCAAACATTTGGAAACTGTTGCAGCGGTGCCTTCACCAAATTTCATGGTTGTAGGAGGAAAGTGTTTTACAGATCGAACTATTAAAATGGTTTCACAGGTAAGATGTTGTTCTGAGGGGAAAATAGAAAGACTCCCCGGTCTGAGAATATATGAAATAGGACTTAGTTTTGAGTCCCAAATAGCTAATAAATAAAGTCTGAGATGCTGCAGCAACGTATTTCTTTAATTCTGATTTTAAGCTTCAGTCTCGTGTGTGACTGAATCTACAGAATTCTCCTCTTCACCACGATGGTTCTCCTCCTTCTTGTGTAAAATCTCCATAGGTGCTGCATCACCTTTCCCAGGATTGAAAAATGGAAAGACTTCACCTGTGAATTTGACTTTGAAAGATCCAATCAGAGTTTCATCGTTCACGTTATAAAAGGAGAGCTCTCCACCGTCATAATCCAGAAACACACCGACCTTCTGCGGTCGTGGACAGCCAATAAAAACCCTTGGTTTAGTGCTAAACTGAAACACGTCTGCTGAGTCGGGAGAAGAAGACAGGAACCAGAAGCCATTAGATGTGTTTGGAGAAACTGACTCCTGAAGAATTTCAGGTCTACTTGTAACTCCGACCCACCAGGACTGTTTGAGGCCGACTGCTGGATTATCCAAAGGACCCAATGAAACCTCCCAGTAGTGTTGTCCACCAGAGAACCCAGGAGTTCCTTTGATAGCAGTGAGACAGGTAACGCTTGGTCCATCAGGAAAGTCATCACATTTGGTGTCTCGCAGCATAGTGCCTTTAACAGTGAGGAATTTATGTTTCGGCTCATCAAGTTTAATATTCACTGTTGAAAATGAAGAAAAAAAGAAAGGACAGAACAGAGCTGGGTTAGAAAAACAGGAGAAAACAACTGTGATTCTCAACTAATTAAATGAATTACCGTAATATTCGCGAAGTCTTGTTAGAACCGATGGCTGCTTCCCGTCTGCAGAGAAGTCAATAGAGAACACATCTGTTAATATCTCTGTTGGGTTTTTTGTTGACTCTAAGAACGACGACCACTTGAACCAATTCTTACCTTTTGGCAAAAAGGGGACAGTCTCTGGAGAAAAAACAAAACAAAAGAGTTTAATCTCCCTTTCGTCAGGAGCACAACCATACAACTATGCCATCTGTGGCTTTGACAGGAAGCTTTCTAGAAACTTAACCCTGCTGTCCTGCTGCATTATCTCTCCATTAACAGTCTCCTCAAGAAGATCGATCACAGCACAGCATCTTCAGGCGTGAACGAGGATGTAAAGCCGTCGTCCAACTCGTCAGACCTTCATCAACCATTTATGAAATTTCAACCAATTTCTTTTTGTCATTTTTGTGACCAAGTGTTTCATTTTTAAAAGTATTCTAATGTTTGGCTGTGACCTGCAGCTTCATGTGGTTCACAAAATGTTGACTTCTGTAATATCAAGTTTTTTTTGGTTTTGTGAGCTTGATGATGGGACTTTTCATAACGGCTTCAGTCTTTGTTCACACCCACAATCACAGATTCTTTGATCTACTTGTCTATTATAATACTACAGATTCTGAATCAATGACGGGATGAGAAACAACAGTGAAATTTTCAGGTTTTTATCTTTAAGATTTCCTCAGATGTTGTCGTTCAAACTGCCTCAAAATTCAACATGAAAAAAAAAACACTAAAACATGCAGAGTGGTTGGACTGGGTATTAAAAAAACCAAACAATTACTTGAGCTATCAATCTACAATTTCACAGATACCGTTGAAAATATTCATAGTTTATGTTAAAAAAACAACAACTTTGAAGCGAATCAAAGAACTCAAAAGGAACGCCGGTGATTTAAGAAGCTCTCGAGGTAATCATTTACTTCAGATTATGAGCCAAACTTTACGCGAGCGCAACACAATAATTGCTGGAAGCCGGGATGAATATATAATGAACACAATGAAGTTTCAGTGAAGTGTTGCGACAGAGTAACGCTGTGTTTAATGTGACTCGGTTGTTTTTCTTACCGTCAGATGGTTCGGATTTGGAGTTCTTCCCTGAAACAGAACAAAAACATGTTGCGGGTTGATTTCAGCCAGTGCTCATGTTTACATCACTGAGGATACATATATATGTAATAACATGTACCTCTCTTTTTGATGTACATAGCTGCAAGTACAGCGAACACTACTGCTGTGGCTACGAGGAGCAACGCGAAGGCCACCCATCCAGCCGCTGAGGATCCTGACTCTACATAAAAAAAAGGAAAGTATATTTAATAAAGCCGCAAAGTTTGACCTTCATACGATGAATATTTTCCAAATTACAGCCATTTGAAAATTTAGCTTTTTGTAATTTTGTAATTTAATTCTAAAAGGAGACTTCTATAAAAAGCTAATAAAGAAAACTCAGCTGTTGCACACATGCACATCACTCTCTTTACCGCTTGGAGCAGGTTGAGGAGGCTCTTTAAGGGACATCCTGGCCTCCTTTACTGCTATTGTAGAGAGACCTACAGAGCAGGAGACCTCCGAGGAGCTCTGGACGAGAACCCAACTGTGGACCCAAATGAGACCAGAAGAATCTTTGCCGTACATCACATTTCCAGCTCTCAGATCCTGCTTGCCGTCCGACCAGCGCAGCGTCGGTTGTGGATACCAGCGTTCAGATTTACAGCTCACGTTCACCCTCTTGTCTTCTTTCCACACGGGTGACAACAGTAGAGGGGATCCGGTTTCTAGGACGGAGGAGGAAGGTGAAGAACATCTGATGCACGCATGAAGAGACCCATAAACTGTATTTATTCCACCTTCATGACTCTCACCTGTCACAAGGAGACGGACAGTGTCACTGTCATAAGCCTGGTAACTGCTGACATAACAGGTGTACTCTCCTGCGTCTTCGATGGTCGCATTCTCCAGCTTCAGGCTCACGTCGCCGGACCTCAACCCGCCCGACTTGTCGTCCTTTGGGCCGAACCAGACTCGACCAGCGTACGAAGCCGGCTGCTTTTCACTGTAGACCTTCTTCTCCCGGTAAAGCATGATGGGATTGTCGAAGTCGCTGCCACGATACCAGCGGACCTCCAGATCCTCTGCGTCTTGCGGCGGTTCGAGCCAGCATGGTAACGTGGTCGTGTGGTTGCGTTGTACCAAGATGGGACTCCTCACAGAAACCACCAGACCATCTGTAGCTGTCACACAGACGCTGTTGGTTACGTTTTTATCTCCATGATGCCATACATACCGAGGACAGGAGGACTTACTGTAATCATCCACAACAAGACAACCACCGGCCCATGGCACTCTGACCCAACCTCACCCTATAGGTTGTGCAGGTTTTTTCTTTTTCTTGTTTTTGTTCTAAACTTTATTAGTCTCTTTGAATGTACAATCAACACGGCATGTACAAACGTTGCATAGACATTTTCAAAGTGTTGAGGTAGCTCTAGAACAGGAAACCACCAACATGAAGGAATAACAAACAGAATTAAAGCCATTAGCGGCATTTGACAGGTCCTCGGCGTACGATTGTCGGCCTTCGCGCACGTCGGGTTGTGATGCTATCGTGCTCCAGACAGGACTCTGATCCGGCGTGTCGAGTTTGGGGCAGATCGGAGCACGTGCGGCCTCGTTACAAGCCACTTCCTGTTTAGTGGCGAGCTGCGACGGTGTGCGTGGTGTGATGTGGCGTGCTGGTAACGCGCTATGGGTGGGACTCTGAGCACATGTGTATAGTTTCATTAAGACTGGAGCACGTACAGGCAAGTTACACAGCACGTCCTATTTAATAGTGTTTTATGGCGTTTTGGTGAAATTCTACAGGCCGCCATGTTGACGCCGTCAGACTTTTGCGCAACGTTTTAATAACTTTTAATCACCACGTCGTGTAGATTGTGCTGGCCAAATTTCAAGTGTGTACAACTTACCCCCTAGGAGGAGACAGATTTTGAAAATGGCCAAAAATGGCCGATATTTGGGCAAAAGGCACCTCTTTTTTCAAAATGGCCGGCTTCCTGTTGCGTTTCAGGTATGTGTTCTTGAGGCTTTTTTGTGCATCTTGGCATGTTACATGTGTTTGCCGAATTTCGTGGCTCTACGTGGAAGTGTGTTCGGGGGCCCATTTTTTGTAATTTTGTAGGGGGCGCTGTTGAGCCATTTTTCTATTGAGGTGTGCATTTCCCCCTAATCATAAAATTTTCCACCAGGTCTGATGTGTGTGCCAAGTTTTGTGCGTGTGCGAGTACGTTTAGGACTTCAAAAATGCGTTTCTTTGTCATGAATAATAATAAACCCGAGCAGTTCCAACGGGGTCTTTGCACCCTTTTGGGTGCTCGGACCTTAAGAACTAAATAAGACGGGGATCTCAGGCACGCAGCATGAATAAGTCCATCAGGGGGAAAAAGTCTTTGGGCATTTTTGTTTTTTTACACTTAGTAAAGAGATTTTGTGAACTTTCTGAGTTCATTCTTCCATTAAAACGTGGGACTGAGAAACGGTTCCTGTCTCCCGCCTCAAGGACGATACCAACAGGACGGGGGCAGGGGGGTGTTTCTGGTTTGAATGGTATCAGCTCTTATCAGTCACAGTTTGCATATTACTGGCTGGCAGTGACCTACAGCCTCGTGTGTCAGCCATAAAAGAGAAGTTTTTATTGTTCAAGGCAGGAAAAAATGGTGGCACCGCCCCTGTGCTGGGTCTTATTTAGCACTTTGGCAAGTTGTGTTTTTTTGCTTTTACAGTTAATGTGTAAATTAATGCTTTTTCCCCCCCTGCAATATGACTTGATATTATCTATAATTTTATTAAAATAATATCAGCAAAATAATCGGAAGTACTAAAAAATAATTTTAAAAAAATCACAGTGACTAAATGTGGTGGTGACGTTACCACGTTAAGCAAATAAAACGTGTGTGAACATGTGAGAGAAAGCAGCCTTACCGGTGGAAGCTCCGCAGGACGAAGCCAAAATCACCGCGAACCACAAACGAGCCGAGGTTCCGCCTGAAAAACACGAGAGACGTCAGAACGAGGCCAGAGTCTGAGCGGCAGAGCGCTGAAGGACGAGTCCACCTACCCATTCTGCTCCTGGAAGCTCCTCAAATACAGAAGTCAGGGCGTCTCTGAAAAGTAGATTTACAGGTCTGAGGTCAGATTCTCCTCTTTTCTGTCTGATTTCACCGCGGAGCTCCAAAAATAGGACAGCCACGTTTCTAAAATGTCCGCCTCGTCGGGCACAGGTTTAGTTTCACTTTCACTTGTCGTTAAAGCCGCAGTTACTCGGTTAGTTTTATTCCCACTAGTGAAGCAGGACACTGGAAGGGAGGAAGGAGGAAAACGTCTGGGATTGATCAGAAGCTGCTGCTGCTCAGTCTGACAGCAGCTTTACTCTGTTCCTAATTTTAACTCCTTATTTTAATAAAGTAGTGAGTCACAGTTAGAATTTATTGCTTCTTCTTTTGGTGAATGCATCTCTTATGTCTGTGTTTTTATCTGAGCGATATCTGGCACAAGTTTTATCTTCTTTTTTTAAATTACTTTTATGGATTTAAATGCAGTTGAGCAGTTCATTTTTACAGATGCACACTGTGAAAGGACAACTCACTATTTGTACAAATTATGTACAGTTTTAGGCACTTTTTAAAAAAATTTTTACAGTTAACATGTAGATTCATTCTTTATTTGTATTTTTCTGAGTGATTTTACTGATTTTTTTTTCTGTAATTTTGGGACAAAAAAAGAAAAAATTTCTAAAATAAACACATTACCATTTTTCAGTTCAAATAACACCAAATATCTGTTGATTTTTTTGTTTCTATTTACTGTAATAAAAATAAATAAATAAATAAATGTGGCATTTATTGGTCAAACATAAAAGAACAAATTAAAACTTGTAAAAGTACTGATAACATTTACAGTTTTAGGCTGTTTTTTTTTGTTGTTTGTTTGTTTTTCTTTTGGCTTGTTCTATTTTATCTAATTACTCTTTAATTTCACTAAAGTCCTGCAAAATCTCCCTGATTCAAATCATGACATAGTGATGGTAAAAGTGTTCTGCTCTGTCTGCCTTTGGATCCTGATGCTGTCTGATATTTAATGAACTTGGAGGAAACAGTCCTAAACAGCCAAACAAACTGAACTCTGGTTCTCTCTTTCAGGTCTGTGTGTCGACTAAACTGTAAAATGCTGTATTTAGTCCCAGTGATGCTTCCGCTGTGACTGTTAACCATCTCGTGCTGCTTTCACTTGCACTCGGACACCGTAGTTGCCTTCACTTAGACTCTGGAGCTGACCTGTTAGATCTGGGTGATTTCAGGGAAGCGTTATTTGTTTTCTGTCAACTTTTTAACAAAAGTTTTACTAAAAACTAAACACAAGCACCTTAATAAAACTCCTATTTGCGTGGATGCTGCTGGTTCTTGTCAGGTGGTCACGTGTGGAGGCTTCGAAGCTCATATTGAGTCGTGTTGATGACGTATGTGGTGACGTTCAAGGCCTGATGTCCCCCCAAACACAAGCAACACGACCACGTTTTTGTTTATTAGCACAAACTATGTCAGATTGTTGTCCCACCACCTGCTTTACGTTTATCGTCCACTTGATGGCGCAGCAGAGCAGGTGAAGCTCCATGTGTGAACTACTGGGATGGAAAGCTTCAGGTCTTCATGAGGCTTCATCACTTCTCTTCAGCTCCTGTCACTCTGAACCTGAGGGCCTGACTGGAGACACCTGCTCTCAATCACCTCTCTCCATAAAGCCCTGCTCATTCCTCCAGACCACAGACCTTCTGCTGGTCCCTGTTCTGTCTCCACTGCTACCTGAACCCCCTCCTCCTCTGGTTCGGTCCTCAGCCCCGTGAGTATCCCCGTTTTGTTGGTCTAGCTTTAGTTCATCCACATTACTTCCCTCAGGTTCCCTCCTTGGTGTTAATTTAGAGTTTTTCTGAGGTTTTTGTAGTTTTGCCCGTTTTTTGAATGAAGTCTGGTTTACCCCGTTCTGTCTAGTTTCTGAACTTGATGTTGGTTTCTGTTTAATCCTGTAATTTAATAAACCTCTTTGAACACCTCACCTGCCTGTCTGCCTGAATCTGTGTCTGCACATGACAGTTACACTCAGTTCATTACATCTGGTGCAAACCTCATTGTATTTAAATCCTGTTTTTAGCCACTTTGGTCCACACTGAATGAACTGTTGCATAGATGCTGTAAACATTTAAGGTCCCCAGAGGCTGCTCAGTTAATCAGTGAAATCTGTTTTCCTGCATGATTTAACACAACATCTTGTATAATTCATTGTCCCCTGATTATGCATCTGAAGGACTTGTCTTTACCTGTGAGTTTTGACGGGTTTTGTCTGACTTTTTAAGAATAAACTACAATAATATGTTGATTTTAAGACTTCTCATTTTGAGCCACCAAATGTAAAATGTGTCCAGTGTTTTGATTTATAACCAGATTCCTGCAAAACTAAAGACGTTCAGCTTTGTGAGTTGTGTTCAGGGATTAATTTAAAACGTTAATGCACCTTTTCATTGCTAAATATGTAAATCTGGAGGTGACTATTAGGGGCTGACTGTGTTTATTAAGAGCCAATATTGCTCATTAGTAATCGAGATAATGGATCCCTGATGTTTGGATTTGATATATGTGCAGGAAAAGTAAAAATTCTTGGTCTTAAAATTTAGAATAACATTAAAATTGAGTTTAAAATGCCTTATTTAGTTATGTATACATTTGTATATTTTTTATTTTATTGGGAATTAGTTTTAAAAAGTGATTTAGACAGTCAGAAAATCACTGATCTATTATTCATCTGAAAATTTGAATTATGTGTTATAAGATCCTTGTGCTCCAGTTGGTTAAATAAAATTAAAAAAAATCTTAAAACATGACGTTATTTCTGTTCCCACCTTTAGAAAATGAGGGAAAACTACGTGAATACTTTATTTTCTGTTAGAATCTGTTGTCTCTGTTATTTGTGGCTTAATTGTTAACTAATGTAACTAAAGTCCACCAGGTCCTTCTGGATGTTTCTGAGCTGAAGACAGAAGATGATTAAACAGAGCTCAGGTGTGTTTGTGTTTGTGAGTCCTCACGTGAGCGCGCTGCGTCAAGCCAGACGGGTAACACCAGGTGAGCCCCGGATGTTGCACGATGTTGGCTTCAAAATAAGTGTATGTAGTGAGCGACGGTACAAAAACAAGTGTCAGCTGTTAAATTTTCACCCTAATGATCAAGCAGTTTTTTTGATGCTAATTCTAAGTAGTTAATCTGGAAGCACTGATTTTACATAGAAATTGGATAAAATTCGTAATGAAGGCTTGTGTCTTAGTATTTTCAAAGGTTCTGTTTGGCAGCTTTAAGTTTGAAACCACAAAACACAATTTACTTTCACTATACTTGATCTTTAATCAGGTTAGCAGACGATGCGCTACTTCAACAAGGCCGGACGGTGAAAATGAGAACAGGCTTTTTCAATTTGAATTCTGTCAGTTTTTGTGATGACACCGACATCATAAATAAAAGAAACCCACTTAATCTTCTGTTGCTCAGATGCTGGGAGTGCATGAAGACTCTTGTGTTCACTCTTGCAGCCAAAGTTGGTAAAATAACAACATGAATTAGTGCATTTGGAGTTTTAAAAACAAATGATTCAACTCAACTGAAAGCAGCTGGAAGGTAAATTGAAGGAAATTGAAAACCTCAATTGTTCTGAGAATAAACATGAGTCCAGATTTAGATTGATCTGCAGGTAAATCCAGGTAGAAAGGTTTAAGGGCCAACAGAAAAGACAGTAAGAGGTTTTTAAAACGAACAGTAAGAGCCTTTTAAATAAAATGCAGTGTCTATCAGACCCTACAGAGAAGTAGAACCATCCCAACCTCAGCCTTCAGCTCACAATAATGAGTATTAGAATTACTGATAATAAATATTAATGCTGCATTATAAACAGCATCACGATAATAAACTTCTGATGAAAACAAGTTATTTCCCTACAATGCAGCAGAAAACATTATTTATTCCTGTTAAAGAAGCTTTGTTTTCCTGTAATTTGTTTAAGAGCAGAAACATGATTTGGTTTGTTTTGATTCCAGCGGGTTTTATTTTGAAAGGCCAGACCAGAAGTTGTCGACTGGACGCTGTCCGCTGTGACAGAGGTCCAGTTCCAAACTTCCTCCGGTGTCAGAGTCCAGTGTTGGGAGCTCGACCGACCCGTCCGGTCGTCTCTTCTGCTCACCGTCGGCCGGTAACGTCTCCGTCCAGCTCCGTCTCCGGTTTTCGGCTCAGCGAGCGATGCGACGAGCCGTTAGCTTCGCTTAGCTAACGTTAGCCCGCAGCTAGCTTCGCAGCGCAGCCACAGCAGTTAGCCGCGGAGTTCACTGACCCTCGGCAACATGGCGACTTAGTTTGTTTTGATCCTCCAGAGTCCAAAGGCAGCGTCGACATCCGGCTCCAACATGTCTCACCTGGACCCTGATGACACCACACCGCTGCTCAGGGACGACGACAGCAGGTAGGACTCACCTGTCCTCTTTAACCTCTGCCATAACACCATGAAGTCAAACCTGTCTGTCGGTTCTCTGCCCACCAGGTCGTAGTAATCTTAGCTGCAGTAAAACACACCTGGACTTCTCTGTAGGGTTCCTGAAGACGTTTCACCTCAAGGACAAGATGTTCTGTGATAGTACCTTCAAAATAAGGGCATGGAGTTGGTGGTGCATCAAAACAATCAACATGAGGGCTGTTAAACTGTTCACTTCTCACATTAAACGCCTCGTTTGTGCCCTTTTCTGCAAATGCATGAAAGTTTCACCATAACTCATGATTTTAATCGTGTCCTTAACGACATGATTCAGTACCTGTTGCTTAAAATGCAGGTGACCTGCTGTTGCCCCGCCCCCTACAGGAAGAAGACTCCCTGATTGGCAGCTTAAATCCTTCCCTTTAAGGCCCTCAAACATGTTTCACCTCTAATCTGAGAGGTGGAACATCTTCAAGAACCTCCCAGGAAGCTGCTCTCTAGTGAAGCTCCAGAGTTAATATTAAACCACCTGTCCAGAGTAAGACTTTAACTCACCTGTCTGTCTGTGAGCAGTGATGGATCTGTGGAGGAGGACAGCAGCAGCCGCTGGAGGTCCATCCGGGTCATGTACTTCACCATGTTCCTCAGCAGCGTCGGTGAGCAGACCCACCCACAGATGTTCCACCATCCCACTGGATGTATCTCCAACACCTGGCTCCTCTGTTCACTGTTTCTGAGTCATGCTGCATTTATTTACTGATCCAGTGTCTTATATTGTCCTCTCATGTCCATCTCTTCCAATCGTCTGATGGCAGCCTGTGACTCGTGTCTGTTTTTGTGCCCTTTCAGGTTTCACGATCGTCATCACATCCCTGTGGCCCTATTTGCAAAAGGTACAGATGGTTCATTGTTTTCAGAGTAAAAGATTGTTGACCGTGTGTTTGCTGTTCATATGCACCTTTAAAGAAAATAGAAAACATCGGTGAGGACACAGAATCCAAACAGCTCCATCAGAGGATAGTTCTTAATTATTGGTGCCTTTCAAAATGGAGAAAAATGTCGAATTTTCAAACCAGACTGTCTATATATATGAATTAATCTGTATTTCCTGCTAAAAATCCAGTCTTTGGGCAACATTTCACCAACTTCTGAGGCTGTAACTTAAATAGAATTTGATGTGTGGCAAATATTTTAAGCCTTTTTTTTATATTTTGACAAAATAATGATGTTGACTCATTGGTAGGAGACACAAACTGGTTTTCGTAGGTTCTATATGTCGTTATTTTATATGCAAAGTTACAAGCTGCTTCCAAGTTGACTCCATATTTAACATGTGAGCCTGATGTTACTGAATGTTCCCGTACATGCAGTTGAAATGAACCCTGAACTGATAGTTCAGCCCCAGAATAAGTTCTGAGCTGAGTTTCGATAAATTTGTGTTTTCAGATGTTTAAAGAACCCTTAAAGTGGTTTCTTAGGTTTGATGATTTTGATTTTCGGGGATGAAAATACAATAAGGTCTGAAAACGTATGAAAATCCACGTAACAAATAAACTATCTAAAACGCCCCAGACTGACCCGCTAAGTTTAACCCTCGCCACCTTCCACTGTGTCTCTAGATTGACAGTAGCGCCGACGCCAGCTTCCTGGGATGGGTGGTGGCGGCCTACAGCCTCGGCCAGATGGTGGCGTCGCCCATCTTCGGCTTGTGGTCCAACTACCGGCCTCGCAGGGAGCCTCTGGTGTGCTCCATCTTCATCAACCTGTCGGCCAACATCTACTACGCCTACGTGTACCTGCCCACGACCAACAACAAGGTCCACATGCTCCTGTCCAGAGCCTTCGTGGGCTTTGGAGCAGGTAAAAAAGAACAACTCAGTAATTTCACACATATCTTTACACAGATCCATAAAATCATACAAGTCAGAGATGGTGGAGCTGAAATTGTGCTGATTGGAGATGGAATGAGCCTCATGAAAGTTTCTCTCTCCTGATTCCAGGTAATGTTGCCGTGGTGAGGTCTTACGTCGCTGGAGCGACATCGCTGAAGGAGAGGACCAACGCCATGGCAAACATGAGCGCCTGTCAGGCTCTGGGCTTCATCCTCGGGCCAGGTGAAGAGACACAAACAAACTCCCATATGCTGTCGTACGGGCACAAATACATTTACTAGTGATGTTTGGGAGCACCAAAACTGTTGCTAATACATATATTTTTGCCAGTATGACAGTTTTTATGCAACAAAAACATCACTAGTAAAGGTCTTTTTGCGAGTTTGACTGTTCTGGTGCACCAAAAACGTTGCTAGTACACATATTTTTGCAAAATTGAGAGTTTTAATGCACAAAAAACATTACTGATGAAGGTATTTTTGCAAGTTGTCCATTTTAAGGCACCAAAAACATTGTTTAAAAAAAATATTTTGCAAGTTTGACAGTTTTGATGCACCAAAAACGTTGCTAATGAGTCAAGATATTTTGTTAACATTGTGCAAACCTGAGCAGCAGTCAAAGGGAATGCAGCAGGTGTTGTGAACGAGGTGTTAAAACATCGTTGCATTCTTTGTCTACTGTCTTTGTTGCAGCTCTGCAGGCGTGTCTGTCCTTCGTGGGTGAACAGGGCGTCACGTTGGAGTTCATCCACCTGCAGCTCAACATGTACACCTGTCCCGCTCTGCTGGCTGCAGCTCTCGGCGTCGTCAACATCCTGCTCGTCATCTTGGTGTTAAAGTGAGTTCACGAATTCGCGTAAAACACCAGAATCTGTTTCGAATGGGCAGCAGATTAGTTTGATGCAAACTTTAAAAAAAAACAAAACGAGGATCTTCTGTCCTTGTGGCTAAAGCATCTGTTGTGATTCTGGCCATCAGAGAGCATCGAGTCGATGATCACGGGAGGCAGATCCAAGCCATCAACTACACATCAGAAGGTATATTTTCTCATACATACACGTAAAGTAAACGAGGCTTTTATTTTGTAGTTGTCATCACAGGACGTTGTTGTGGTTTGTTTTGGTTTAACTCTCCGTTATCCTCCTGCAGACAGAGTCGACGTCAGCGAGGAAACTGAGGAAACCATCGACCAGGTGGCGGTCCTGACCTCCAACGTCCTGTTCTTCATCGTCATGTTCATCTTCGCTGTCTTTGAGACGTATGTTGTGTTCCAAGTCAAGTCCAGTTTTATCTCTCTGTGCTCCGTTCTGTAGCGTTCTGATTGTACGTCTTTGTCCAGAATTGCCACCCCGCTGACCATGGACATGTTCGCCTGGACCCGGAAGGAGGCCGTGCTGTACAACGGCATTATCATCTGCTGCATCGGCTTCGAGTCCATCCTGGTGTTTCTGGTTGTAAAAGTGGCTTCTCAGAGGTACCCTCCCTCCTGCATGCACAGACTGAATCCATTTCTGTTTCCTGAATTTAGTTTATTACGTAGAATGTTTGCTTTTCTTTCCAGAGTCGGGGATCGTCCTGTGTTTCTGGCCGGTTTGGCTATTATCTTTTCTGGCTTCTTTGTTCTGCTTCCGTGGGGAAATCACTACCCTAAAATCCAGTGGGCAGGTACGGATTGATGCATTCATTTAACTGTACAATTAAGGCGATGGATTCGATGTCAGTTTGGCTTTTTCTGCTGCTTCTGATTCAAACAACCCAGCTGAATAAAAGTTAATCCACATTTCTGTTCTCTTTCTCCAAACACAGATGTGAAAAACAACTCGCTGATCAGTATGATGTCGGGGGTCACCATCGCGCCCAACAGCTCTCTGGAGCCGACGGGCTGCCCGTACGAACAGACCTGGTGCCAGTATACTCCGGCCATACACCTCGCCCAGTACATTTCGTCTGACTTCCTTATCGGGGTGGGATACCCAGCCTGCAATGTGATGTCTTACACGCTGTATTCCAAAATCCTTGGACCAAAACCTCAGGTAATGAAAGTGT